GGTGAGAGGACAGAAGGACAGAGTGCGTAGGAGATCACTTTTTGAGGTGTCGATTGCTGGGGACAGAGATTTTATTCCCACCACCACCTTCCCTCTCCTGGAAGAGAGCCAAATGATGTGTACACGCACAGGCCCAGGCTGCAGCTCAGGTGTGGGCCAGTTTCTGTTGGGGTTTGTTTGGGCTTGATTTCAAAGTCAGGGAAACTCCCTGGCTCTGGTGCTGTGGGCAGGGCCCGGTCAACAGCATTGCCAGGGAAATTCCCAGGGCTGGGGACCCTTGTCACCCCCATGGTGATCAGGCGACCCAACCCCTCAGGAAGGAGACTCGAGGGTTCTGCAAGGGACAGGCTGCCCCCTGGAGTCAGGTGACCTGGGTGTGGGTTCTGCTCCTCCTGGCAACCTAAAGCCAACTGCTTTTTCCCTGGGGCCTCAGCTGTAAAGCTGCTGCACAGGATTTATGATTCAGGGAGCCTTTTATACCCGAGAGAGGCACCAAGGGCTGGCATGGCCACCCCAGATCTGTGGGTCTTGGCCCTGCTATGTGGGAAGGCTCTCCAGCCAGGCCCCGATCCCACCTGCCTTGCCAGCCCACCGCCTCTACTCCTCCCGCCACCAGAGCCTTCCAAAGCTCACCCCCAGCATCCCTGCCAGGAACACCCCTCCCTCCCTCTCTCCTCTCCATCTGTTCAGTGCCATCTTTCAGGTATCACCTCTTCCTGGGGACCTTCCCACCCCAGGCAGCACTGGGGCTCCCCTTCTGGCACAGGAGTCTGCTCTGAGTCACTGCTGGCTTATGGGCAGGTCTCCCCAAACCACTTGTATTTGCCGAAGTTTACCCAACACCCACTGGGCTCAGAGCCTGGTACCCCAAGGCACAAATAAGTACCCCTGAAATGTCCTTCAGTTGGGAGTGGCATTGGGACATCTGGTAGGTCCATGTGGTTTATGGGAACAACAACAGGACACAAGTCCCTATTCCATCGCTGGTTCCACCACAAGTCCAGCTGCGTGGTCCTCAGAAGCCCCTTGGCCTAGGATAGCTGAGCCTCAGCTTTCTTTCTGCAAAGCGGGGTGGTTGCAAGGATTAGAGTGGATCAACTGCCCACCCGGCCCAGTGGGCCAGCCCCCTGAGATGGTAGCCCCATTTCTGTGGGTAATCCCAAGGGAAATGGCGTTTCAGGGGCAGTGGCCGGGGTGGTCTGGGCAGCGGAGGGGTCTAGGCCCAGGTGGGGCCAAGAAAGCTGAGCGACTTTCCCGAAGGGACCTGGATGCACTGGGAGGAAACCTGCAGAGAACAGTGAGCCTGTTGACTTTCCAGGAAGGAGTATTGGCATCTGTTGAATTGGGAGGGAAAGTCAGGCGTCCCAGGGGGCCTTGGGGCATGTCCAGGGCTATGATGCCCTGCTTGGGCACAGTGTGCCCTACATGGGCACAGTGGGTGGACCAGGGCAGTCCTAGTTCCTGGGAGCCTTGGCTGGGGACAGCCTTGAGCTCTGAGGTGGCAGGGACAGCCTGAACACCAGGGGTTGACTCAGCTGATTTACTTGATGAAGAGCCTTTGCACATGGTGGGCTGTGCCCAGGAGAAGACATCAGTGATAGGAGAGCGTCCACCTGCTCCTCCCATCCAGTAGGGCCTTTGATCTGCTGCCGAGGACACAAAGGACCACTCCACCATTGTTCTGGGAGAAGCAGCTGGTGCCACCCTCCCGCCTTTCTGGCTTCACCCCAATACACCTCCCAAACCCCAACCCAGCCCTCTCCGTGGCTCCCAGGCTCCATGTGCTCTTTCTCGCCTCTTTGCGCGCACATATGCTGCTGTTCCCCACGCCTGTGACACCATTCTTTTCCCTTGCCTCCATGCCTCTTTGGCACTGTGTTTTTTTCTGTTGCATCTTCACATGGTCCTCAGGGTCCACTTGCCACTCTTCTCCACACCGCCTTGTATCCTGGTGAGGCCAAGCACACTGACCATGGCCACTGCATCAGAGGGCTGTGGACAAGGCCAGGCTCCCCTTCCCTGGGGAGTCCTGGCTGGCTATGCTCCAGGAAACACACAGCTCCCCCTGCAGCACCAGGGAGGCCCATGAGGACCCTCCTGTCAGCAGCCCCAGAGCTGCACTCTCCCTGTGACCTCTGTACATCCTGCCTACAACTTTGGGAACAGTTCCTATATTAAATGTCTTTCCAATCTCAATTTCAGTAGACACCCCCCACGCCAGCTCCCGCCACACTGCATGGTCCCCAGTTTCTTCCAGCATTTGTGTCCTCCGCCCTTAGGCCCGGAGCTCCTGGCTCCACACCTGAGCCAGACCACTTTCCAGTCCAGGAGGAGGAAACAGGGAAACATCTTCGATGGGAGGCACCAAAATGTAATAATCCCACACGAGTGAGACTGAATGGATTGTACCGAATCTGCTCATGGATCCATTCATTCACTCATTCAACCACAGATGCTCCCTCTTGGAAAGCCACATGTGTCACCTCAGCCGAGGGACAAGGTGCAAGACACCTTTGTGGTGCTGGCATTGCAGTGAGGACACGAACATGAAAAGTGAAGCTCCTGTCATTTCAGCTTGGGGTGTGAAGGAGATAAAGCAAGGTACAGGGCTCACAAAGGCAGGGAGCAGATGTCACTTTACGTAGCAGTCGGGGGCCACTGGAACACAGAAGGCCATGAGGGCCAAGCCAGGGTGCCCTGGCGGAGGGATCTTCCAGGCAGGACTGTGGGGGCCATGACCTTGGGCCGCTGGAGGGCAGCAGGGAAGCAGTCTGGGGGCAGGGGTCTAGGTGACCTATGGGTGGGGACCTGCTTTCTCTTAAGGGCCTTCCCAACCTTGAGATCTAAGGACTCCTCAGGGAAGCCCTTACCCGGGCCAGGCCCCAGCAGGCAACTGCTGCCTGGATCCAGCAGAGGGAAGCCCGTGTAGGACACTCTCCCCCTGTTCTCTCTCTCTCAGTCCTCATGGTGACCTTGTGAGGATGCTGTTCTCTAAAGAGAACAAGGCTCAGAAAGGTTAAGCAGGCTGCCTAAGGTCACACAGAGTGGGGAGAGCTCTGCCTGACCTGTCACCCACCAGGTGTTTTCCAAGACCAGCACATCCATGGCAGGGAACCCCTCATTGGTGACATCAGCCATGCAGAGACAGGCTGGCCACAGGACCCAAGCTTCAGTCCTGGGGAGGGCAAGCCCCATGGCCATGGGTGGGCCATGCTTGTATGTGTATGTGTGGGGTTTCAACCTTGCTCTTTCACAGCCTCCCTGAGAAGGGAGCACTGGTAGGTGAGCAGGTGAGCTGTGCCATCCCCGCTGTACCCCATGCTCTCCAGGGCCAACCCATGCTGGCTAATGGGTGTCATTTTAGCCCTTTCAGTTCTAATAGACACTGTGATGACATGAAGACTGTCATTTCCCATGGCTCATGTAGACAATCAATGTGCTGGCTCCTGGAAGGCTAGAATGGCAGGCTCATCCAGGGCTGCCAAATGGTTCACACAGCAGCCTGGTGAAGGTACCCAGATCACAGACCAGCAGCAAGATGGGCAGAAGAGAAGGGGCCTCTGCTTCAGACACCCAGGGTAGATTCAGGACTCGTCAGCCAGCACCTACCCTAGCAGACTTCCTAACTCATCATGCTGCTACATCCTAACAGCAAAACAGGAACTGTGGTGCCATTTTGCAGATGGAGAAGTTGAAGCTCATAGAATCAAAGTGACTTGCCTAGGTTCATGCAATTAATAAGTAGAAAAGATGGACTTGAACCCAGTTCAATTCCTCCCATCCAGGCAACTCTTTCTCCCTTGCTTAATTCTCACTTTATGGGTTCTTTTCTGTCTCAACTTTTCTTCAAGTTACAGACGCATCTGTCCACCCCACCCCAACCCACTTCTGCTCAGCCACACTATGAGGCTCCTGAAGCCAAGAATCTCATTTGACTCACAAACTGTGTGTGCCTGGAGCCTGGAACAACCAGACACAAAATCTGGGACCCAGTGGGTGCTCATTGTGCTATTAAATGAATTGTAAGCGGGCTACCATTTTTTCAACTTGATGCCAATGGTCAGCCGGGTCAATGCGGAGATTTCTGTTACTGTAGAAGGACAACTTGAGCAATCTTTATGCAAATACAAAGGTGAGTTGGGGAAAGTGATGTATTATTAATGTGTTTTGGGTTTGCTTTTCATTAACAAGGTTGCTCCACTTCTTGGTATCAAGAGCTCTGGAACGCTGGAGAAGGGTGGGTCAATATTTGTAATAACCCCAGAGATCTTTTCACAGTCCCCACTCCTCTTCCTTGTGATGGGAACTCAGAAATAGGTGGGAGGACTGGAGTAGCTCTGAGAGAGGCCAGAAGATGAGAGAAGAACCTACCTGGAGGATGAGGCTGGGCTGGTGATCTGAGCCTGATTGCAGGACAGGGACAGAGACACGTGGGAATTCCATCCACCTTTTAGTCAAAGATCACAAGACATTTAAGGGGAAATTCCTGCAGCCTCACTACTGAGCAGGCCGGATCTGTGATTGCTATGGGAACCTGATGGAGAAGGGCATCATGGAGGAGCAGTCTCCAGGCTGCATAGCACTTATCTTCAACAGCGACACCATGTGGCTGGGCCCAAAATGACAGCACTCCCCAAACATCAGCTCCCCTTGCCTGTTCCTAGAGTTTGAAGGCAGAGCTGGCCTGCTGTCTATGAGGTCCTCAGGGGCCCCAGAATCAGTCCAGGATGGTGGAGGCCCTGGATGATACTGAACTTCCTGTTCATGAAGGCTTGGGAGAGCAACAACTGGAAAGATAAGAGGTGCTCTTGGGCCGGGAATTTAGCTCAATGGTACAGCCCCTGTGTCAAAAGCTCAAGGTCCTGAGTTTGATCCCCAATACCGGGGCGGGGGGAGGCTCTTATTTGTACCCTGAACTGGTAAAGTGCTCACACATAGTATGCAATGTGGCAGTTGCATGCACACCAGGCCAGCAGTGAGCACAAGTATGCAAGCTGACAAGTAATGCTTGTGGGAGAGTTCTCTTCTGAGGCAGATTGTCTTTGCAATTGATAATGACAGCAATCACAGCACACTATGGTTAACAATGCTTTTGTCCTTTTATTTTCTTCTGAGCCTCACACCAGCCCTGGGAGACAAGGGGGCAGAGGAGCCTAGGAAATGGAGACTCAAAGAGGGACTTGGCTTGCTCACCCAAGGCCACCAACAAACACCATCCACCCCCTCTGTGGTGCCCACACTGCCTCCCAGGGATGCCAGATGCCAGGTTCCTACCCTGCCTGCTCACAGCAGCATCAGGACCACAATGGCAATGAGCATGAGGACTCCAGCCAGGATGCAGAGGCCCAGGAAGATGATGTCACTGGTGTCCTGGGCCACCATGGTCACCGGGCCCTCCAGTGCCTCCACCTCATCCCTGGATGGTGCCTCCTGAAGGTGCTCAGCAGTGGCAGCGTAGGGCCCGAGCCAGTCGGAGCCAGACAGCAGATGGACAGAAGCCTCCTTGCGCCGCGGCTCACAGCGGACCTCATACTCATGGATGTCCTCCCGCCCGGCTGCCGAGAAGTCGATGTACAGCACGCTGATGATCACCGAGGTGTTGTTTCTTCTCTGCGGGGTCACAGGGCACTCGCTCACATCTGACAGGGCTTGGCCTGCCCCTGTGGCCCTAGATCTATGTAGTCCTAGGTTCCAGCTCTAGCTCAGCTCCTTACTCCAGCCCCATTCCAAGCCTCACTGTCCTCTCTACAAAAGGACACTCTCTGGAGGACCATGTCAGAGTCTGCCCTGGCTTCAGGGAGGCGGGGTTGATGAAAGTCGGTAACAATAACAGCTACCATTTGGGGGTCATTTCCCATGTTCCAAGCTCTGTTTTTTTTTTTGGTACCCGGGATCGAACTCAGGACCTTGTGCTTGCGAGGCAAGTCTGGTGCCACTGAGCTAAATCCCCTTCCCAGGCTCTGTATTTTAAGTACACTGTCTCCTTTCATTCTCACAATGATGCTATTATTAATATGCCCGTTTTACACGTGAGGAAACTGAGGCCCAGAGGTGAAATCCCTTGTCTGAGATCATACAGCAGTCAAGTGACAGAGACCATATTCTCCCCCAGACCTGCCCAGCTCTTCACTCAAACCAAAGAGCACCTAGCCAGTCCTATCCTTGGCAAACGTGTGGCCGTGACTGCTGAGGCCTGGGTGATTTGCCCACAGTGAGGTCCAGCAGCAGCAAGTCTCCCGCCTCTCAGTTAGCAGCTCCACCCCTCGTGCTCAACAGCCCTCCTTCTGGGATCTTTTCTCCCAATCACACATGCAGCAGTTGTCCTGGCCTTCGGGCCACTTGTCACCCAGGGATACCACCCTAGGGTTGGAAGAGCCATCAAAGAGGGACATGTGCATAAAGGGGCTAAAACAGCAGCCCTCCTGCCCCACAGGCAAAGGAAGCTGGGATCAGAGTGCCCTGAGCAGGGCCAGGCGGCATCGTGGTGGGCAGAGCAGCAGGGACGTGGGGCTACTCCCACCCCCGCCAAAGCTGCAGCAGCCATTATGCCCTCAGGCAGCCCAACCTCCCCCATCTGGTGGGCACCGCCTCTGGGGCGGGCTTCTAAAAACTGAAGCTGTGCACGTCAGAGGGAGCAACCCTGAGTAAGAAGCACCCAGCACCCGGGCCTGAGTGCCCCCCTTGGGAAGGGTTGAGGGGGGTCACAATCGGGAGTTTCAGAGTCTCGGTGGCTTTGGGGTCTCAGGCTCTGATCCCCTCAAGGGAGCCTTCTGCCTCTGTGCCTCAGCCTGCCTCCCTTCCCACCCTCTGAAGGGGACTTGTGCCCTGCGTTTGGGATCACAGGGCAAAGCAAGTCAGAACTGAGAGCAGAAAGGGATCCAGTAAGAGGACTGAAGTCAGTCTGCATAATAAAGGAGAGAAAATTTGAGAGGGTGAGCATGGAAAGCATGGGGTTTTGATGAGCGAGAACCTTAGGAAGGAAAGGAAGCCCCCAAGATGTGGTATTGAAGGTGAGGAAGTCAAGTCTCTGAAAGGCCCAGAGGGAGGTGCGGCAAGGTTGCTGCTGCATTTGTACTGCTCTTGGCCATCTGAGCCTCCTGGGAGCAACTCCATGCAGAGACTGGGCTCCTGGTCTATGGTTGATAAGGGTTACACTAGGCATCTATGAGCCCACGGCTCTCAGGTTTTGTATTTCCAAGCGACTGACTCCACGATTCTACGGTTCTGTGGTTCTGGCCTTTGGCAGTGGCTCCTTGACTTGGAGACTGGTGGCCACTAGCCTTTGGGTGGAGGAGTTCGTGATTCCCTGCTTCTGGGATTCTTTGTCTCCCTCATCCCATGACTCTGTGGAATGTGGTTCTGTCCCAAAGAAAAGCCTGGAGGACCCCAGGGTGGAGCAGGGGTGACCACAGGAGGTCTTGGCAGCCAGCATAGACCACCCCCATCCCCGCCTCCTCTCGGGTCCAAGGATGGGTGCTGGGAGGCTGGGGGCAGCGGGGCAGTCTGTAGGGCCAGCGGGACGCATCTGGCTAACGCGTTGGGTGGGGTGGGGTTGCTGGAGAGCACATGTGTCTGCAAGCTGGGCTGCAGACGCCTGGATTCCGAGGCCCGGAGTCTCCAGCAAAGCCCACTGTCCTCTCCCCCGCCTCTCCAGACCCATTCGTCAGAGCACAAACATTCAGGGTGCTTGGGTCCCTGCCCAGGGACTCTGAGGGCCCCGAGCCTGGGTTCAAGGCCTTTGAAACCCAAAGGTGGTAGAACAACTTGGAGCAAAGCCTTGCACCCCAGGGCAGGAGGTGGAGCCTGTGATTGAAAGGCCCTTTTGTTTGCAGAGCCCGGGTGGATTTGGATTCCCAGGTTGGATGGGGTGGGCAGGGCTAAGGAGGACTCTGATGCTCTGCATATTAAAGGGGTGAGGACCTGGATGCTCTGGGGGGCTCCAAGGGAGAAGGGGGGAACAGCAAGGAACTTTGCGGTGTTCACCTCTAGAGCCTCTGAGAGGTGCGCCAAGCAGGCTGCAGGCTGTGGCTGGCTGTCCACCCTCTCTTCGTCTCTCCTGTCTGAGCTCTTTACTTACTGCTCTATTCTGAGCAAGGCTGTTGAGGTCAATAAAGCCAAGAAGGGCTGAGCTCTGCACCCAGCTTAGGCAGAAGCCCAGGAACGGCTGGTTTAGAACCCCTCCCTTGTACCTGCCGCCCTCCCCTCCCTCTGGGCCCCTACCTGAGACTCAGTGCTGCAGGTGTCGAAGCGGGCCTGGATCCGGAAGTTGCTGCCAACTTCCTGGGCCGCACAGTTCCGGCTGCCCAGGTAGACCTTGGTCCGGTCCAGCGGGGCCAGCGCTTGTGCAGCGATCAGGATCTGGAAGTCTGTGCGGGAGCAGCTCACGTTCATGGGCACCACTGGGAATGAGAGGGAAGAGCTAGAGGCTGCAGGGGCAGAGGGCTGGCCCCACCTCCCCCACCTCCCAAAGGGTGGCAAATGGGGAAACTGAGGCCCAGGTTGGGAAGGCTCTTATGGAGACCCATAGGGCACAGTGCAGGATAGTTTATGTTTGTCAAGCTGTTAACCCCATGGGACTGTGAGCTCCGATGGGCAGACACTATATCTGCTTCTCTCAGCGTCCCCTGAGCCCACTGAGTGTTGAATGAAGGAATGGAGTGAACAAATGAAAATCCTTAATCATAATAAAGCTACTATTTGCTAATCACCTTGCCATATGTCTGGCAATTCTTTCAATCAATCGTTTCTTCAGTCATGTAATAAACAGCTATAGATGACCTATACATGCAGGCCACTATGCTAAACACAAGAGATACAGAAATGAAAACACAACAACAATAACAACAAAAACAATCCAGCCCCAATCCCTGCTTTGGTGGAGCTCATTACAGTTGGCAGAGTGTAGAGGGATCTGAAGGGAAAGGCAGGAAAAGACAGAAGACAGAAGAGCAGCATGGGGGAGAAGCAGGGAGGTGTGGGTCTGAAGAGGGTGGGGAAGGGAACCCACTGTCCCTCCCTGTGGTGACCCCATGAGGAGGGTGCCAGTAACCCCGTTTTAGTTCTAGAAATGAAGCTCTGAGAGGTGAGGTTGTTGGCAGGGGGTGAATTGAAATGTCGGCTTTTGGGTCTCTGGGGCTCTTGAGCTCATGGTCTCGAGAGCTATTGGGCAGCCAGGAGGCGAGTGGGTCTGACTCTGAGTGTCTGGGTCTGTGTGAGCAAGAGTGTGTGCATGTGCGTGTGCGTGTGTGTGTGTGTGTGTGCATGCACAGGCAGATGTGGCTGGTGGGAGGAAGCAGAGAAACCTGGCAGCAGAGGCCTGGACCTCTCCTCCTCTCTCCGGGAAATGCCTCAGACATATTTCAGCTCTGGTGTCTGGGTAGCTGGGATTTATGGGCCCGCCATCTCCCGCGATGATCTCCCCAGGGCTGAACTGTGTGTCACCCCTGACAGATGCCGTGCTGCCCTCTCAGTGGGGAGGCCGCCAGCAGCCTGGGCCCCATCTGGAGCCTAGCCTGGAGGGAGTGGCCTGTGTGACCCTGGGGAGGGGTGGCTTCGGGTGGAGGTTCCTGCATGAGGCCCTGGGATGAGCCAGGACCAGAGCTCGCCTGCCTGCCTGCCCTTGGTGTCCGCCGTGCTGCATGGGGACAGGCTGGTCCTGGGAGGCACCAAGCTGAGAGGAGTCAGAAGACCCACAGTGACAAGGACTCTAAGGACCCTGGGTACCTTTTCTCATTTTACCGGTGGGAAATTGAGACCTGGAGAGAGAAAAGGACATGCTGGTCCACTGTAGCACAGCCCACCGGCACTCCAAGCCCCCGCCCATGCAGAGCCAGAGGAGGGGACAGTGCCGACAGACCTGCGGACATCCTCTCCTCCCGTAGGGACAGAGTACACCGAAGCCCAGAGGGATGGGGTCTCTTCTCAGCCTCCAGCTAACTGCAGCTCTTTCCCTCATCACTGGGACCCCCAACTCCTCGATCCCTCTGGGCAGGGAAGGAGGACCAGTCTGAGATTGGAACAGGCCTGTGACTCATGAGGGACAGAGATGCTGAGGGCCGGGCACTGTGACCTGTGTTCCCCCATGCATCTTTGTCTCCTTCTGTCCAGGATATTCATCAACACCCCCACCCCCTTTTGCGGTACAGGGCATTGAATCAGAGACTGATCTACATCCTGGCTCTTATTTATTTATTTTAGGCAGGGTCTCACTAAGTTGTCCAACTGCCCAGGCTGAGCTTGAACTTGTGATCCTTCCGCCTCAGCCTCCCAGAGTCCTGGAATCACAGGCGCGCACCACCAGATCCAGCTTCATCAACCCTTTTTACAAACATGCCTGCTTGCATGGTCAGTCAACAGCCACCTCTGGGTGTGGCCCTGCTCTGCTCAAGCTCAGCCCAGGCGCCCTCCTCAAGTCCTGCTAAGACACACAGACCACAAGAGAATGAGTTCTAGTCCCAGCTGTGTGCCTGGCTGCCCGTGTGACTGTATGGAAGTCGTTTCCCTCTCAGCACCTCCATTTCCCTATCTCCACAATGAGGGCCTTGGGCTGGCCATCTAGAGGACACAATGGGCCCCAGCACAGGCATGTGGGATCCGAGGCCAGGGAAGAGTGGTGGGAGGAGGGGAGAGGTGTGACCATAGCTCCCAACTGACCGACACCACCAAGGCCAGAAAAGCCCAATCCCAGCTTCCCCAGCCTCCTCTGCAGTCAGGCATTGCCATCTAACTGAGTTCAGAGCAAGGAGACACAGGAAAACATCTGGTGAGGGCTTCTGGCCATGCTTTTGCATTCCTGAGAAAGGGACAGCTCCTCCCCTACCCTCTTCCAGCCTTGACCACAGACATGATGCCCGGAGTTGTGGCAGCCATGTTGCAACTGTGAGACTGAGTATTCCAGAGATACCATTTGGGATAGTGTGTGTCCACACCTCGAGCCAATACAGTAGCTGCCTAGCTCCAGACTTCTTATATAGGGAAAAAAAAGGCCATTTATTCCATCAGTATTTCAGAGCAACACAAGCAAGGCTGCTAAGCTTCTCCTTGGCCTGACCAACGGTTTCCATAAGGTATTGCCATGCCTTGTGTGTTACCCTTCGTGTGTGGGCACCAGGGATGGGCCACAGTAGCAGAGGGGCCAGGTGGGAGGAGCTAGGAGCTGAGAGAAGGAGGGTTCCACAATAGTGAGAAGAAGCAAGGGCCAGGCTGCTGTGGTTGCAAAGGCCCAGGAGACAGCAATTGGAGGTCAACTGAGAAGGGACGGGAACAAGTTGGTAGGATGAGGCGGCCCCAGCTCGCTCACCTCCAATGTAGGCCACTGAGAAGCCCCTGCCAGTGGTGCTCCGGTCTGTGTGCAGCACCAGCAGGAGCTGGTTGGAGCTGGAGGTGGCGGGGCGTGGTGAGTGGCGGCCACACCAACTGCCCAGCAGGGGTGCCTCCTCGCTGGCCCCATCAAAAGCTGCCAGATGGTCAAAATCACAGGTCCTGGTCAGGCTGTTGGGATCCTCCAGGTCCAGGTCCAGGAAGAACACCTTGACCCGGTAGCCAGGAGGCAGGCGGATGGTCCAGTGGCAGCGGATGTTGTTGGGGTAGGAGCTGGGGTACTGTGGACTGGAGAAGTTCCCCCGCACAGCCATGTAAACCTCCTGGCATTCTCCTGGGTAGGGGAAGGAGATGGGAGGAGCAACAAGGAGGAGGGGGAATTCCCCCTCTGCGGAGACAGCTCAGGCCGTGGCCACTGCAGGGTCCCCGAGCCACTCTGGCAGGTGTGGGCACCATGGCCCACAGGCTGGAAAGTTGATCCCAAAGCTTGCTTTAATTTGAAACTAGCCAAAAGCTGGGACTCTCGTTCTGACTACAGTCCTCTTTGAGAGCACTGGTCCTGTTAGGACCTCCGTGGTAATCCCTGATTCCACAGTGGTAACACCTAAGCCACACCCCTGGCTGGACAGACAGACTGTTGAGATCTGGCCTTTTTGCACTGCCCCACCATGTGGCTGGGCAAGTGTCCCCCAAGGCCCATCTGATAAAGGCTTGGTTTCCAGCTGAACTGCAGGGAGGTGGTGGACTCTTTACAAGGTGGGGCCCAGTGGAAAGAAGTCAGGTCATCTGGCCCTTGAAGGGCACATTGGGACCCCAGTCCCTTCCTGACTCTCTCTTTTGCTTCCTGGCTCCCATGAGGTGAGCGGTTTTGTCCCACCCCACACTCTACCATGATGTTCTGCTTCACCAGAGGCCAAAGACAATAGTCAACCTACCATGGACTGAACCTCTGAACCATGAGCCAAGAAAACCCTTCCATCTTATACAAGTTATTTATCTGAGGTATTTTATCACAACAGAGATCTGACCAATACACCCTCTTCTATTTCATCCTTGCCACTACCTCCTAGTGCTACGAGCACAGGCCAGACTCTATCTTCCATGCCCTACACATGCCCTTCCTCCTGCTAGAAATGCCCGTCTCTTCCTCCTGCCTCTGGCTAACTCCTCCATGGCATCGTTCCAGTCTCTCCTCCTCCAGGAAGCCCCCCATAATTCTTATTATTAGCACACGTCACCATGGCTCATCCTCACCTCATCCATCTCCCCACTGGACTGGGAGCTCTCTGAAGGTTCATTCATTCCTTCTACTTCCTACATGCTAGATAAGGAGAAGCCCATCAGGAGCTCACAGTCAGGCAGGGGAGACTGACGAACAAACCACAGAAATGGTAAGTGTTAAAGCACAGTGTGAGAACTTCTCTGAGGAGTTGAGAAATGCCCTGATACTGTGACACTGAATCGGGAAGACCTTGGCCTTGGGTTCGAGGAATGTGCTAGCTAGCGCACCTCAGAAGACAGTGACACAGCCTCAGGCCCTGAGGGGACAAGACTGTGGCCCTACCGCATAACAGGGAGGCACAGGGTCTGGGGTGGCTCCTACCTGAGAAGTAGTGGGCCTTGAAGCCCCGGCCTCCAATGTTGAAGTCGGACTTAAAGACCACCTGCAGCTCCCGGCCCAGCGACACGAGGGTGGGGGGCTTGGTGGCGCCACAGTAGTGCTGCCCTTGGGCTGGCCCAGGCCCCCCTAGCACAGCCACGTAGTCATAGGTGCACTGCTCACTGGCCTCCACCTGGAAGTCCATGAACACCAGCTTCACGGTGGCAGGCCCGGCGGCCCGGATCACCCAGCGGCACTCCACGTTGTTGGGGTAGTTGCTGGGGTACTCGGGGCTGGTGAGGACGCCTGACAGGCCAGGCAGGACACCGCCACACACATCTGCAAGGGAGTGCTCTCGAACTGAACTTTTCCTCTCCCCGAGGCTCCGACCCCCACCCCACAACAGCACCCCAAATGCTGCTCCCAGGGCGTTGTGATGGGACCCTCATCGCCACCCACAGAGTCCCGGGAGCAAGGCAGGCACTCATGCCGGGACACCTTTGCAAACTGCACCCTAACCCTGACAGGGGTGTGCTGCGGTCTCCCCATTCTACAGCAAGAAAAATGAGGTACAGTTAAGTAACTCACTACCGGAGTGAGGGAGTTTGTCTGAGAGATTGGAGGCGCCCGGGAGGCGAGTGTGAGGCTGGGATGGGGAGAGGTGGGGGCCACCTGCTGGACTCCCCTACTGAACAGGGCTGGGGCACTGACCACGTCACCCTAGGGGGCGGGAGCTGCGGCATTTTTACCCTGAGTCCCCAGAGCCCAGACCAAGGGCTGCTGGTAGTGGAGGGACCTGCCCGGACTTCAGACCAAAACCTCAAGAAAAGGATGTGGAGGCTGGGAGGACACCAGGGAAACACAAGGCCCAAGGGACACGCACAGGGCCCCGCGAGTGAGTCTCCAGCTGGCGAGCAGGTTTGACCAGGAAGACTAACCCAGAGCCCGGGCACTTGATGCTGGGACTGTCCACTCCCGTCAGACCAGAAGGGCCCAGAGGCTGAGGTGCCTGAATCAGGGATGGAACCAAAGTGCAGTGTGAAGTCTGAAGCAAGTAGCGTCTGCCTTTTGTCAGCTGTGTGACCCCAGGCAAGTAACTCAGCCTCTCTGAGCCCTGATGGAATATTAAAAATCATAGGAGCCACTCAGCCCCATCCACAAGAACCTGATTCTGTAAATGCGGGGAGCCGCTGCTGTCAGCCCTGGGGAATCCAGCTTGGCAGTGACAGTGACTGCTGTGCGGGCTGGAGGGCACCAGCAGGGAGGTACTTCCTGAGCCCCAGAGTCTGGGCCCCTGCACAGCTCTGTGACCGGAGCACAGGACCGGGCCTCTAAGAACTTGGCTTCTTGTCTGAATGCCGAGGCGTGGCCTCGGGTCTCAGGTTCATTGTCTGTGAGGTGAGAGGGCAGGGGAGACCCGCTCCAGGCTCCACACTAACAACTTAGCGGGGGCTCCCAACCTGGCTCTGGGCTCCATTCTTTTTTTTTTTTTTGGTACTGGGGATAGAACTCAGGTCCTTGAGCTTTCGAGGCAGGCTGCTGAACCACTGAGCTAAATCCCCGGGGCCACAGATTCCATTCTTATGCTACACTTCCAGCTATCTAAGTAAAAGATGGCAGCAGAGGCGCAGAGGCGCCGGTAACTCCAGCACCCTGGGAGCTGAGGCAGGAAGAGCGAAAGGCCAAATGGCTCCCGGGCACAGAGCCAGACTCTGCCCCCATAAAAGGGGCTGGGAACCACCTCTGTGGCAGAGCACCCGCGAGTTTGATCCTCAGCACCACACACACACATACACACACACACACTCGTGCGCGCACACACACAAGATCATACCTACAAGTCGTGTGTCTCATGTAAAACTTTAGCTCCATGAGGTCATCAACATCAATGTGTTTTCAATGATTGGCTTGTCATAAATAAATGTTAAATATATAAACTTATAAAGTAAATGTATGTCACTAAAACACGGACGGCCTCCATCTCTGTCACCTATTGGGAATTAGCATATGGTCCATGTGACAGAAGGGCATTCCTGGTTATGAAAATGTTAGGGAGGGGTCCGTGGGCTATGGCATTTTGACCTTGATATCTTATGATTCTAAAACTCAAAGGGCCTAAAATTCCAAAACTCTGATTAATGTGGCAGGGACTGGGTGACCCCTCCCCGAGTCCCGGGGGCCCTGTGAGCCCTGTGGACCAGGAGCTCCAGGGTTGCCGGCTGCCTGGGCTGAGGGACTGAGCCAGTGACCTCCGCCCTAGGAGAAGGGAGGGGGCTGTCTGTGCAGAGAAGCTGAGGACAGGAGGAGGGGCCAGTGGGAAGGGAAGGAGAAGCAGGGCACAGGCAGGGGACAAACCTGCTTGAGGGAGCCAGGGGTTGGGGACCCTGAGTGAGGGCCGAGTTCAGGGACAGGGAGGGAGGAAGTCAGCAGCTGCACATAGACCCTCAGACACGGCAGTCCCTGGCCCTGGATGCAGGAGTGGGACTCGCAAAGGGTCAACAGCAGAAGCAGTGGCAATGGTGCCCCTGCAGCCTGATACCACAACAGGAACAAGTAGGACAGGGTACAAGAGCACCAGAGGCCTCATTCAGGAACACAGGGTCCCGCTGGGGGCTCTGGGAGTGACGGAGAGAGGAGAGAGGCCCAATGCCCTGCTGTGAGGGTGGGAGCCCATGACCACCAGACTACTATACTACAAGGTTGAGGACACGAGGAGGTCATGCAGGCCACAGAGCAACCTCCCCACCTCCACCCAGGGCAGCCGCTCCCCCGCCAAACACCTGACCTTTCTGGTAGCCTGCAGAAAAGCCGTGGCTGGCCACATGCTTGTCAGAGTGGAAGACGACAGACATGACATTCCATGAGGAGGTGAAGGGTGGTGGGGGCACCTGGCCGCAGAACCTGCCCAGCAGATTGCCCTTGTCCCCCGACGCGCCGTTGTAGATCTCCAGGAAGTCGAAGCTACAGGTGTCGTGGTACTCCAACTCAAAGGCGTGGAAGGTGAGCAGCACTGAGGACCCCTCAGCTACCACAACCAGCCAGGTGCACTCCATGTCATAGGGGTACAGTCTCGGGAAGTTGGGGCTGGAGAAGTTCCCGGAAGGTGCTGAGAGGACCCCGCCACATTTGACACCTAGGGCGGGGGAGAAGGAGACTCAGAATCAGTGCCGGGATCTTGGGCAATGTGGGCTCAGCTGCAGCTGGTTCTTGGGGACAGCGTATGGGAACACAGGCATGGCCCCAGTACAGCCAAATAGCCACACATTTTCTCATGCGCCTACAGAGTCTTCAGATATTCCCAATGCTTTCTCTTATTCATTCAACAAATACTGCTGAGTGCTAGGCATGTCCTAGAGCTGGGATTACAGGAGAAACAAAACAAGAGCAGCCTTCCTGCCCTCGTGGAAATTACATCCTAGCAAGAAGAATGCACAAGAGCGATGGAAACAGAGATCAGTGCTGCGGGGAACAAGAAAGCAAGTGAATGAAGGAAGGGACAGGCTGGCCTCTAACTTTAGAGAAATGAAAATGTACAGTCTCTTACAGTACATTCTTGGGCTGGGGTGTAGCTCAGTGATAGAGTGCTTGCCTAGCATGCATGAGACGCTAGGTTCAATCCCCAGGACTGAAAACAAAAAAAGACATTCTTTATGTGTATGTTTGCTTCTATTTATAAGAAACAATGAAGCCAGGCATGGTGATAGGCACTTGTAATACCAGCTACTTCAGAGGTTGAAGCAGGAGGATCCCAATTTGAAGCCAGCTTCATCGATGCAGCAACTTAGTGAGATCCTGTCTAGGAATAAAGAGGAAACAATAAAACAAAACTAATAAGAATAATTATCTGGCAGAGGAAAGAGTGAAAATAAAAGGAGAGGAAATCGGCATGACTGCTAGACCTCTTTAAATGTATCTTGTTTCAATTTCTCTCTATGTTCATACTTTTTTCTTCTATTATCTTTATCCAGTTTTAGGATTAGCACAATGTTGAGTTCCTAAAATGAGGGGAGAAGTGTTCCTTCTTTTTTCTGCTTGAATTGTTTGATATAATTTATCAGTTAAAATGTTTATGAGCCTGCTGTTGTCATACAGGTAGGTTTTCAAGCTAGGAATATACTTTCTTTAATAGGTGCTATTCAAATTTTATATTTCCTCCAGAGTTAGTTTCATTAATTTGTCTTCCAAGGTACTTCTTAGAAGTTGTCAAATTTATTTCAAAAAAGATTTTTGTAATATGCTTTCTATATCCTTTTAAATTCTGTAAAATCTGTGGTAATGTCTCCTAGATCTTAATATTGTAATTTTAAAAATATATAACTGATATTGTGTAACAGGAAGAAAAGGTCTAAAAGAGCAGGGGAATTGGGAGGGGTAGGGGAAGGGAAAAAAGGGAAAGGTAAAAATATGAGAAGAGGAAAGAAAATGGAAACAAGGTCTTTGCAAATAGGGAAGGGTGGAGGGGGTGAAGGGAGGGCAAGGGAAGGGGAAAAAAATAAGAACCAAGAGACTCATGTAATGGTACAAGATCCCAATGATGAATGTAACTGTATTTTATACCAAAAATGTACCAATAAACTTAATGGGGAAAAAAAATGTATCTTGTTTCATAATTTTGACTTTGTAATCACATAGAAGATAAAACAGATAAAAAAGTTAATGTATTCAAGGTGAGACAAATAAATATAACTATGTATCAAGTTGGTGACAGTCACAGGGGAAAATGATTTCAAGTGACTTTGGGATACTGTATTTTGACTGTACATTCTTAGTACAATATATTCCTGGGGAAAAAGTGAGCCACAAAAAGATCTTAGACAATATTCAATAGCCTTGCTTTAGAAATAACATTAAATACTGTTATTTCACAAATATTATAGATATTGGAATAAAGCAAATAGGTATGTTAATGTTACACCAAGATTTTCAGGGTAAGAAATAAAAGATGCAAATATAATAATAAAAAAATTTAGCCAGGCATGGTGGTGCATGGCTGTAATCTGTCACTCTGAGAGGCTGAAGAGAAGGATCGCAAGTTCAAGACCAGGCTGGACAACTCAGTGAGTTAGCAAGACCCTGTCTCACAATAACGCAGCTCATGTGAAGCCTCTGGGTTCAATCCCCAGCACTGAAATAAAACAAAACAAAAATTTTCTTGTGATTCTTAATATGAATTGAAAATATCAATTTCAATGTAAGATTTATTTTTAAAAAATATATTTCCTATCTCTGTTTACCAAACAAACTGAGAAGCAGTGATATTTCAGTACCATTGTGTAGCCCTGGGCCTCAGATTAGGATTATTATGTCCAAATGACCCAGGGCTCCTTAGAAGAATGTTTGGCACTGGGCAGTATACAAAGCGTGCTTGGAAGGTTATCATCCTAGATGGCAAAGAAGCTGTCGAAGACTGAGGGGCGTGTCAGTGGACACAGGGACCTGCCTGAAGACTGAAGAACCTAAAATCCAAGTGTCACAAAAGAATAATGATTGCGGGGAAGTGAAACACATCAAATATAGAGAGACTTATGAATTTATAATGCAACTCAGAAGAAATTAAAAAGGTTTTCTTTTAGCGATTGTTGAGACATTAATGCATTTTATGAAAATTGATAACTAGAAAGGGAAAGAAATTAAGCATCTACCATCCATTCCCGTACAGGCTGGATTTTCAAATACCAAATAGCTGGTGAGAGAAAACTGTTATTTATAGAAGACTGCAGAAACAACTGCAGCATTGAAAAATCATAATTTTGCAAACCTTAATGAAATGTTGGACGTAAATGACATCCTTAATGTCTGCTCGAATCACTGAATGAAACCTACATAGTTGAGTACAGAAGAACTCTCTGCAAGGTTCTTTCAACTTGGCTACATGAATTAAAATTGTGTGTGTGTGTGTCTGTGTGGGTATGTGTGTGTTGAAGTGGGGTCTCACTATGTTGTCCAGGCTTGACTGGAACTTGTGAGCTCAAGTGATCCTCCCACCTCAGCCTCCTAGATGCTTGGGACTACAAGTACGTGCCAGCATAACTGGCAGAAAACTTTTATACTTAAAAAGTGTGGCCAGGAATGTAGCTTAGTTGATAAAATGCTTTGCATAGCATGCACCAAGCCCTGAGTTAGTTTGATTTCCAGTGCCAAAAAAGGAAAGGGGGTGAGATCTAAGTTAATTGGAAGGCTGAGGCAGGAGGATTGTAAGATTGAGGCCAGTGTTCGTGAGACCCTGCCTCAAAACAGAAAGGGCTGGAAATGTAGTTCAGTGCAGGGCCCTGGGTACAATTCTCAGTATGGGGGAAAATATCAAAAGTTAACTTACTAAGGAACTTTATAATGGATGGATCAGACTAATAGCCCCAAAACTGTGAGTCCACCACTGAGGAATCACTGTCACAGTGGAACACACACACACACACACACACACACACACACACTACTTATAAAGATTTCTTGAAAAAAACTGAAGGAACCTGATTCTAATGAAGTCTCCATGTCTGTGCAGAAGTTAGAATGAAATAGAGGCTAGGGATTTGTTTGTCTGCTTGTTTGGTTTTTTTTGTGCTAGGAATCAAACCCAGGACCTCACACGTGCTAGGCAAGCACTCTACCACTGAGCCATATCTCCAACCCCTAGAGCAGGTGGTGGTGTGGGGGAGTAGTGGGGGTGTTTGCACTAAAAATCTCACTAAAATCTCCAGGCTAGTCTGGAGCTCCTAGGCTCTCTCCTGCCTCAGCCTCCTGAGTAGCTGGAACTATAGATGCACCCAGCCTAGAGGAACATTTTTTTTCCTTGGTACCGGGGATTGAACTTAAGACATTGGACTTGCAAGGCAGGCAGCAGAACCACTGAGCTAAATCCCCAGCCCAGAATATTTTGTTTGTTTGTTTGTTTGTTTTTGGTACCAGAGATCGAACTCGGTCCTTGCGCTTGCGAGGCAGGCTTCGGAACTACTGAGCTAAATCCCCGGCTGCCAGAATATTTTTAATGACAACATGAGGATATATTCAGCCAACTACAGAATGTTGACAATTCTATAAGATAAATAACTCAGTTCCACAAAAAAATTATACTAGGGGGAGGCATAATTGTTAAAATAAAAGAGCCAAGTATCAACCAATACAATGTGTAAACTGCTTTTGGATTCTGATTTGAACAAATCACCTCTAAAAAGACTTCTTTGGACAATAATTGAGGAAAACTGAACATGAGCTGAGTATTAGGTAGAAGTAATGAATTATTATATCATTTAATGGTATTGGGATTGTATAGTTTTATGCCTTTCCCACTTACAGATATGTCCTGAAATATTTATGGATGAGAAATATGATATCTGAGATCAACTTTAAATGTTTCTACACACCTCAGAATGGAAGTGGGGTGGGACAGAAGAATCAAGAAAGGCAGAATGTTCACGTTGGAGTACAGAGACACAGGGATTTATTATACAATTTCTCTCTACTGTGTGTAACTTCTCAGGATTAAAAGTTGAAAAAGTAATCAGCACTTCCTTCTCCTCGACCACCCTATTCATAGTGAAAACCTTCTCCCCACCCAATGCTCTTTCTTCCCTCTCATGCTATTTTTCTCCATTATTTATCACCATTTAACACCATGTTTATTTATCTGGCTCATCACCAGCACCCCTCCACCTCCGGCAACCTCAAGCCCCTTCTCTTAGACTCTGCTCCCCCCTTGCCTCCCCTTGTGCCCCTCTTCCTTGCTCCAGGACAGACACTGGGACCCCATTGAGCAATCCTGCCCCTCCCACCTTGGCACCTGGCCTGTGGGGTGGCACGTGCCCCAGCCCAGGCCCCAGCCCTGCTGAGAATGTCTGGATGGGACTCCTTTCCTTTCTGCTCCCTTGGCCCGAGTGAGACCCTGGGCAGGCCGGGCTTGGAGCTTCTGGAAGTCATGTTGGCAGATGGCACGGCCCATGTGCAGAGGAGAGATGGTCCTGAGCCAGCTCTGCTCTAGCCCCACCTCCCTGGCTACAGAGCCGACGAATCAACCCATCCTTCTTTTTGCCTGAACTCATTCAGGTTGGGGTTCTGTCACTTGCAACCAAAGGCATCCGAAGAACACACTTGGGGACAGAGAGATGCCGTACGAGAGACACATTCACATATGTGTGCTGTGCCAGGTCTGGGCTGTCTCAGAGCAGGCCCCGCCTCGGGCAGCTCTCAGAGGGGCAAACAAGACAAAGCCACGGGCCAGGGATTTAGCTCAGTGATTCCACCACCTGCCTCGAAAGCACAAGGACCAGAGTTCGATCCCCGGTACCAAAAAACAAGACAAAGCCACACCATGTGGTTGTGTTTAGTCTGGGTGTCAGGGGTCCAGAGGGAGGGAAGCAACCTTGTTGGGGACAGCAGTATTAGGGGAAACGTGAGATTCACAGAGGAGGTGATATCTGAGTCTGAATAGGAAGATGACGAAGTCTTGTCAGTTTTGGAAGATTGGGAGAGGGAATAGCAGGATTTCGTGTTCTCCATGTGCCTCTGCCATGTGCCTGTGATACAGGGTGCTGCTGCCTCCCCTCCCCATGCTGCAAGGGCTGATGACATAAAGGCAAGCAGATGGAGGGACATCCTGTCCAGTGCCTGTCCTTGTCCTTCCCCCAGCAGGAGAAGCCATGAGAGTGTCAGAGAAGAACTTCCACTGCCCACATGCCCTAGGCCACTGTGTAAGTGGAGACCTTGTCCACCACGCTGACCCCCAGAGCCACTCCACACCACTGAAGCTCTGGTGGCTGGAAATAGAGACAGCTACCTCACTCCTCCTGCCACCAGGTGTGGGCTGAGACATGTGGGCGCCCGTCCCATCTCTACCAGGAATGGGGTGCCTGGCAAGGTATACTTCCTCCCTGGGCTCCCCCAAGCTTGCAGAAACGGTTGCTGAGTTTCACACCTGCACAGCCCTTACAGAAGGTGAAATGCTATCACCTCAGTGGCACAAAGGAAGAGCCCTTGGAAGCTCACGCAGCACAGAGCCAGCTGGGACCTCAGGGCAGCCAGGGGCTCCTGGGGGCCCCAGTGAGGGAGGGTCTGAGGCTGAGTGCGAAGGGTTCCCGGAGGAGGTGACATTTGACCTAAGCTTGAAGGATGAGCCACATGTCCTCAGGTTAGGAACTCCTGGAAAGGAAAATCCTTTTCAGGCAGAGAGGGCAGCACAGTTTAAGATCCCTGAGGGTAAAGCATCCTCAGAAGGAGTTGTGATTTCCACGCCAGAGTGCGGGATGCCCGAGGGGAATGGGGGACTGAAGCTGAATCGTATGTAGATGTGAAGCTGGCACCCAGGAGCACTGAATGTCATGGTAAGGAAAGGATCAGATGGGGACAAAACACCTCCTGCAGTGGCCCTCTAATGTTCTCTGGGCCATTCCCATCAGTCACCCTTGGTCACCGTGTGGCCTTGAACAAGTTACTTAAGCTCTCAGCTTCTTCAACTATAAAGTGGGGATGAATACTCACCTTGAAGTTGCTGGGAAGATTGATATGTAAAGCAGACAGCAGGGGCTCAAAAACACCCTCTCCCCATCTCAGAAACAAATTCATCCTCAACCCCGGCACTGAATGGGCCTTCTGTTTCCTGGTTCTTCCCCAACCTGACTGTGCCTGCCCCCTCTCCTGGTTCTTGGGGGCCCCCAGGAGTGCCTACCTTTCATGGCCTGGGCCCTGGGGCCTGCGCCCAGCAGAGCCACTGCCAGCAGCAGATAGGACCCCAGCTCTGCCAGCATCTCCTCACCAGGGGTCTCTGCAGGCTGCAGAGCTCGGGTGGGCCGGGACCTGAGGGTCTGAAGCAGGGGAAGAGAGGTGGAGCTGAAAGGGCCTCCAAGCTAATGGTGGTGTGAATAATTCATCGGCCTCGAATTAGTAAGCTGATCCCCGGGTGCTTCCTCCACCGCACACCGAGGTGCCGGATCTGGTATCTCCAGGTTGACACCAGGTTGGCGCTCTGAGATCGGCACTGGTCACGCCGTATCTGGAAGGGAAGCAGCCTGGGCCTGAAAGGAAACTGAATGGTGGAGAAAGGACCCGGGGAAGACCAATCTACCCTGGTTCAGTTCAAGATGGGTAACCTTGGCCAAGTTGTGCAACTCCTGCAGGTCCCAGCCTCCTCTATCCAGGAGATCCATTCAGTCCCACCTCTAGGGCTATAGGAGCAGGTGGGTAGCTTATGCTAAAGCACACAGGCTTTTCCCACTCTTCACCCTGGGGAGAGCTGCAGGAGCCTCGAATTCATGGGACATATGGGACAAGCTGTTTCCAGATGTGAGAATTCACTCAGAGGGAGAGAGAAGGTTATTGTGGACAGCAGAGGAGGGGAAGTCCGCCACGGCATAACAGGACTGGAACTTCAGAACTGCACTGTGCAACTCTCAATGCAGTAATGGCTCCAGGCCATGGGTGCATTCTGGCCACGAACATTAAATGTTCCCTCCTTCACTAACCCACAGCCTTGGTTGGATGCCACTAGGTGCTGGTCTCCCTGCTGGGAGCTGGGGCTGCTGCAGTGCCCTCAAGGACTCTGTCTCACAGGAAATGTGACCTTTCTCTTGCTCTGGGACTCTCTGGTTCAGCCCAGCCCAACACACTTTTTCTTTTTTTTTTTTTTTTCCTTAGTATTGGGGATTGAATCCACAGCCTTCTCACTGGGCTGCATCCCCGGCCCCTTTTTTATGTTTTACTTTGAGACACTAAGTTGTCCAGGCTGGGCTCCAACTTGGAATGTTTCTTGCCTCAGTCTTCCAGAGTGCCGAGATTGCAGATCACCACACCCAGCTCCAACACACATAAACTCCATCTCCGTGTGGTGCCTGTGCCAGGTGTGGGGCCATTGGAGGAAACGTGCACATGGGGTCCTGGGAAAGCTCGAAGGCTCTGAGCCCAGCACCCAGGGTGGGGAGCAGGAGTGGTAGTGGCTGCAACATAGATGAAATGAGACCACGGATAGGGCTTCTTAGCCAGCCTGGCTCAGTGTGTAGGAACAAGTGTGCTTTCTCTCTACCCTAGAGGGCCCAGGATGTCCATTTGACAGACCAGGCACCTGGTCCCCAGGGAGCAGTGGCTGCCAGCAGATGAGGCAACTGGAAGGAGTTTGCCAAAGGGGATCGGGAATGTTCAGGACTGAGGGATTGGCTTACCTGTGGAGCTGATCGGCAGGAAGGAAAGGTTCACCTGCTTCTGGTAGCTTGCGGTGGGGCAGCTTTTTCTAAACTCCTACTGTGCGAATGAGAGGGTCCTAGAGCCAACCCAGTGCCTGCTGGACATGGCCCTGGGACTCTACTGTAGCTCAGGTGAGCACTGGCCACTGGAGCCTACTGTGTGCTCCTGCCTCGACAGTGAGCAAACTGGCATCAGAGGGCCCAAGCCCTGGTCTTCACGTGGGCTTCTCCGCAAGAAGACACTGTGCCACGCGCTCCGCTTGAGAGGGGACCCTAGGAGGGATGTGAGACAAGGATGGGCAAGAAGCAGGTATTAGGGAGCAGGTTACCCTGTGGCGCTTCCCGGAGATAGTGCCCTCACTGTCCCACCCGACCAGGCGAGGGAGCAGAGTATCTCACTACCGACTCTCAGCTGCCCTGGAGACATCAGAGTCCAGGGACATCCAGCCTGCCCGTGCCTGGCCCCAGTGCCCATGGACAAGGGCAGGACCAGGACAGGGTATCTACTGAGCCACCACAACAAAAGACTGCCATGGTTTCATGACTATACCTTGGACTTGATATCCCCAAGTCATCCCTGAAACATTTGTTCCACTCCCTGGAACAACTGCTTCTCTTCCTGGATCGCTCATATGCTTTCCAACCATATCACGAACCTGGGAACTGCCATAGTAGCCTCGGGCTCCCCAGATCAGCAGTTCCCAAAGAGAACCTCACTGCCCATCAACTCTTAACTTGCTCACCCTCTGGTATTTTCTATTTCCGGTTGCCACACAGCCAGTGCACTGAGCTGGGAATATGGCAGCCTGTCTCAACTGCCTTTCCTCCCACCTCCTACCTATTGGTCACATTTGAGCTTGACCCCACCCTTGCCTCTGAATGACGTCTGAAACCACCTCGAACCAAGCTCGCTGTCTCTCCTGCACTGGGACAGCTGCCTCCTTGCTGCCCTGTGTGTTCCTCTCTCTGCTCACCCCCAAGACAGTCTCTCTGCTCCAGTCTTTGTAGAATGCTAACTGGGCCATGTCTCTCCTCTTCTTGGGATGAAATCCAAAGTCCTTTGCTCGGCATTCATGTCCCTTCAAGACACCTTCCCAGGTCATCACAGACTTTCTCATGTTGAGCTCCACCTCCCAGTCACCTGACATTTCTTCAATTTTCTGCATGTGCTGTGCCCTCAGCCTGGAATCCCCTTCTTTCTGCTCCATCTCCTTGATGGGCTCTTAATTCACTGTTAAAACACCTGCCGTGCCAGGGATGGTGGCACATGCCTGTAATCCCAGCTGCTCCAGATTCTGAGGCAGGAAGATCACAAGTTCAAGGCCAGCCTGGGCAACTTAGTGAGCCGAGGCAAAGTGAGAAGAGGGGGATAAGAACATGGCTCAGTGCTCCCTGGGTTCAATCCTCAGTATCACAAACACTTGTCATCTCCTAAAGGGTGCTGTCCTGATCCCACCCCATGCTTTGGGATCCCTTCTCACTGGCTGGTGGGCTTTCTGAGGATGCCCTGTCTTCTGGGCTATCATCCAGCCCCAAACACATCTTCTGCCCCACTGCCTCACCCTGCATATCCTAAGCACTCAGCAGCTATTCGTGGATGCACAGCATCTATCCTCATAGTGATGGGCACCAGGCACAGAAGAGGCTACGTGGAGATGTAGATCTACACGAGCAGGACACACTGGTGTCCTTATTCACTTGAACCCATGTTCATCTGGGCCCAAAGTCCATGCTCTTAACTCTGCTGTCAGTCTTGTCAGGCTGCCATCTACAGTGCTAGTGACTGGCTGGCTCATAAGCACAGACATTGATTCTCAGAGTTACGGAGGTCAGGAGTCTAAGATCAAAGTGCTGCCAGGTTTGGTGTCCAGGGAGGGGCCACTGGCTGGCTGTGTCCTCACAGGGTGGAAAGGGTGAGCACTAATCCCAAAAGGATTAACCATCTCCCAAAAGACCCCACCTCTTAACACCATTGTCTTGGGGGTTAGGATCACCCTGCCCAGCGGAGTGGCACCACAGTCCTACACAGTAGTTAAGTGTGGAGCTCCTACCACCCAGGCCACATGGTTTCAAATCCCAACTCCCGGAGTTACTAGCTGTGTGGTCTCCTCTCTTGAGCTGGCTGTGCAGCTCCACAAGCTAGGAGACACAGAGGCTCTCTCTGAGGGGTGTGAATGTGTGGCCTCAGGGAGGGGAATGATGTCCCTGATTCGGTCACGTCCCTGGGTGTACCTGTGTCATCCTCTGTCATCTACGCACCAGGCACAAATCCCTGGTCTCTGTGTGTGACGGCTGTTGTGTATGGCTGCGCCCTGTGCTGCTGCCCCATCACTGCCTGCTTCTCTGCACACAGACAACCTCTGTGCACACACAGGAATCACACGGTGCTCCTGTGTACACATGTCTCTCTGCGTGCCCCGGATACATACCTAGACAGTGTATCTCCAGCTGTCAGTCTGTCTACTTCTCCCTCAGGATATACACAAAGATTTTGGGGTGACTGTCTCTCGTCGAGAGTACATCCAGGTCTCAGTGCCAGGGTCGCAGCTGAGTGTTAGGTATTCAAGTGCCCAAGGGTCATGTGCCTGCCCCTGTACTCTGCCCTTTCACAGTCACTCTGCCCTGTTCTTGTTCCTAAAGGCTGGAGTGTGAAGGAACGTACCAGGAATGACCAGGTTTTCCCAGGGCCCCTGCCCAAGGGTGTGACCGTCTCAGCCTCCAGCCCCTGGGCTAATGGGAAGAGAGTGAGGAGGGGCTGGAACTGCTGCCTGTTGTGGACCCTCTCCCTAGGCTCTGCCCCATTCCCCATCCCAGTGAGCCTCCCCACCCTGTGCTCATGTCACAGATGAGGAAACTAAGGCCCAGCACTCCAAAGGGCCTGCTCCAAGAGCCAGCGCTGGGCAGAGGGGACACCCATTGTCCTGGGACAGGGCAGAAGTTGGGGGTCAGCTAGAGAATGGCATGGAGCTGTTATTAGCCACCATTTACTGGAAAGAGCCATGGCTTGGGTTCGAAATTCCCCAAATTTGGATACTAGTTCCACCTGCAATGTACTGTGTAACCTTGGCCAAGGCCCTCCACTCTCAGAGCCTAATTTTCTACATGTGTAAAGTGAGGCTCCGAATCATCTACCTAGCTGGGCTGCTGTGAGGACACACTGTGTGATCTGAGAGGTGAGAACACTTTGCAGACTCTCATGGCTGTGTCCAGGTGCCTGTGTGCCGGCAGGTAGACAAGAGGTAACTAGCATGGCCATGTGCTGAGCTGGGTGTTTTGCCCAGCATTCCACATGGGTTGATTCATTTTGTCCTCATCATAGCGCTCAGAGGAGCTACCAGCCTTGCCTGCTGCACAGATGAGAAGCTGGGGTGAAATAGCCGCCCAGGACCGCATAGCCAATATGTGGCAGAATCAAGATTCAAACCCAGCACCTCCTGGCTGCAGGGCTGGAGCTCTGAACCCTCATCTGTGATCACCAGGGAAGCCTGACAGAAGGGGGTCCTGAAAGAGGACTGCAGGGCCACGAGGCGGAGCGGGTGAGGAGATACACAAAGGTAGCCCCCTGCTCCTCTGGCCTCTCTCCTCCCTGTCCTTTGATGGCCAATTAGTCCTGCTTCTTTGGCCAAGCAAGGGCCTCTAACAAGCCCGGGTACACTAGAGGAAGGTTACATTAGGGAAAACTGCCCTGTTGCCCCTCCTAGCCTCAGAAGAGGCTGCCGAGATGGAGGTCCCAAGACTTCAACCTCTAGAGGTTGTCAGGAAGATTCTGCTGCCTCCTTTTACCCCTCTAGGGCATCCTATCTTCACCCCTTCTCCCTTGCCCTCTGCTCCTCAGCCCCTCCTTCACAACCAGATCTCAGGGACCAAGGACAGCGCAGCATAGAACCTTCCAGGTCCCTGCCCTGCACTGGATACCAAGCTCAAGCCTCCTGCTCCACAACGAAGCAACAATTGGACTTCCCCTGACACCC